TGAAAAATCATTAATCGGACAAATTTTTCTCGCGGGTCGCAAAAAATTCCCTAAAGGCCGGGTACGACCCCTCTCCACCGCCCAAGTGAGGCCTGCGATAGCTTCTCCCAATAGTGCTCACCCTGATGTCGTCGGGTGTCACATTAACAGTGCGACATGTGGTAGAAGTGGCATACCGTCGCGCTTGAACACATGGGCGGAGCAAGGGGGCGGAGTACCAAACACCTGAGTGGTCGGCTGTATTGGAACGGCTTCTGCGAAACTTAAGCATGCCCTTCATATGACTTAGACTTGTTTGTACTTCAATAAGCTTTTGTCATCAGGGAATCAACATTTCCAGAAAACATGATATTTTTTACAGCGCAATGCGACTAGCTCTTGTCCTCTGCAGTCTTCTCCCGTTCATACTTGCCGCTCCCTTTTCGAACGACGCAACATACACCGATGCGGTTGCTCGTTCAAAAATGCTGCCATTGGCAGCGGCAGCCTACAGCAAGTCGCCACAAACGTGCCTTACGAACCGTTTCACGAAAGCCACGGTGAGTAAAATCATTGATTTATCGCGTAGCCGATCGATGATCTAGCTGAATCCGAGTGTTAAGTTGAAACGCCAATTGACTGTGAAGTGTGGCCCAGCTGGCAAGGAGGACAAGTGCTCTGGATTCAGCGCTGTTCTTGAAGGCGATCAAGCGATCGTTCTCAGTTTCAGGTAAAACTTTACCCGATGGGAAAATCATGAGAGGTACTGATTACTTACGATGGAAATCGAATTTCAGGGGCACTGACACGTTCCTTCAGCTTGTCGTTGAATCCGATCAAAGTGTCTTCAGCGCCCAGGTACTTTTAGAAATTTATCAATTCATCTGGGTTGGGATAGCCCAACGGAACCTGCCACATCTGGATAAATTGTGCCCCTCCAGTTCAACTAAGCGTTTGATCGCTTGGTGTGCCCGGGAGTGGAATACACTTCTTCCAGAAAAGGAGTTGTCCACTGGTAGCCGGACGTGGGTACCAGCATGGCATAATCGATGAGGGGTGGAAAGCTTCGCAAGCGAGAGTATGTCATTCCCACCTTTACTGCACTGAGCTAAGCCTTCGTTCACCAGTAAGGAGGCATGCTATTTCGGCAGAAAGCGCGCGAGTAAAAAGCAACTATGGCCTAATCTCGTTCACACCATGGTCAAACATGGCGCCAAGTATAATCTGTCCCCTCCTCAGGACCTGATCTGATCCACCGTACGTCCCCCCCCCCTCCA